CTCCCCCGTGGCCAGAACAGCAGAACAGCATTACCGAGGCTGTGCTGTTCGCCGGGAGGACCGCCAGCCTTGTTCACTGCACTGGGAGAGACGGCGGTACAGCGGGGTCGAAGCACGTGGTTGTTCCTAAGGGTATTATCACCACCGTTCATCTTATTGTCATTTTAGGTGTGTGATATTATCTGGAATTGTATTATTGTTATGATTATTATTGTTGGAATCATTATCATTGTTCTTATCACTGTTATTATGATTATTGTTGTTAAATATTGATATTTGTTATTAATAATTATTATCATTATCACCACCATTATCATTATTGTTATTGTCGTTTATGTTATTATTATTATTATTACTATTATTATTATCATCATCATTGATGTTATTGTTGTAATTATTACCACTACTATTATTAATAGTGGTAATAATGATAATAATTATTATTATTAATTTTAATTATTTTAATTATTTATTGTTTTTATAATCATCAGAAGTGTATTAACTTCTGTTTGAACATCCTTAAAAAAGATGACCTTTCATTTTGTGTATGAAGTGTTTGCGGAGTCTTAATTTGGAATTTATTGTATAAAATTTGTTTAAAAATCTGTTTATTTATATAAGAAAGTGAATTTCCACAGTCATCGTTTCTACAGTTTATAAAAATACATATTGGGAATGTATAGAAAAAATCACTCTAACAGCTTTATCCGGCCAGGAATTGCCCAGGTACCAACAAGGCCGCTGAGATGAAATAACAATAGTAATATAAGATAAAGGAAGGTGATAAGCGTCCACCTTAATTTTTCGCTCTCTGGCTCCCACCTTCGACCGCTTCGTATCTCCGCGCAACCGGTGCCGAGTACGCTGTATCTAACAAGGTCTATATAAGTACTTAAATAGCCCTTGGTATCTAGGATCACAAGATAACAGGGCGAGGGGGGTGTGTCTAGTGACGTCACACCTCGACCTCGCCCTCAACGAGTAACAAGGTCGTGTCTGCCGCACTGTCCGCTGGTGACCGCGCCGAACGTTCTCGCTGCCAAGGTCTATCGGCTGGTTTGTTAAAATTGTGCGAGGCCCGACCCAATGAATATTCGTAAATATAGACATGTATATACACAGCAATAAATGGATATCTTTCTATCGATCTATCGGATATCTATACTTTTATCTATCTATACGGTAGATATACATGCCATCACTGACAGATGTGCATTTATTCCCGTGTATGTGCTTGTCCGTATAATGAAAGTTCATCGGGTCGGGCCTCGCGCAATTTTATCAAACCAGCCGTAAATAAGTACTTCTATAGACCTTGCTCGCTGCCGCATCACCTGCCGATGCTCTCCTGTCCTCCTCGTCGCTGCAACTCCGGTCGTGTCCGCCGCCTCCTCCGCTGCTGACCACCGCCTTCGCCCTCGCCGCATCTCGCCTTCCTCGCCACACCTGCTGCCCCG